ATATATATATATATATATATATATATATATATATATATATATATATATATATATATATATATATATATATATATATATATATATATATATATATATATAAGAACTGTTGTGGGATACTTAAAAAAAATAAAAAAGAGGATATCCTAAATATGATTTTGATCATAGTGGGGTAGAAATAAGATGTTTTATGAAGACAAAGAGTACTATAGGTTCTATTACACGTGTAAATGAGCTTTTTAGTCAAATTAATGATACCACTAGCATAGTTTCTAAAATTAATGATGGTACTAGTTTGACGTTACCAACATCATAGCCTCTAATTGAAACCTTCATAACATAATCATTCAAATAAGACCCAAGAAGAATCAGAATAATCATACTTGTAGGGGTTTCAATTGTAGTAATTCTCATACAAAATTAACAAAAGAGAAATCACTCACGTTGATCTCAATATTAAGGAGAATAAACATATTAAACAAAAGAGAAATCAGGAGAATAACATTAATAAAATTAACCACAATGGTGTTGTTATTGTTTGAAATTGAATACTCAATCCTTCTCATAAAAGTGTTATAATTAAACAATGTGTGATTCATAAAAGAATGATTAGATGTGTGTATTTTAATAATAAAACTAATTTTATTTACCAGAATATCTTTATTATGGGTGATGTTAATTTATTCCCTAAGAAATCCATTTATAAAAAATTTATATTAAAAAAAACAATTAAAAAAATAATTATATATTTTAATTAAAATGTATGCACAATTTTCAAGACAATATTTATTCATTTAATTTTTAATTTGTCCCCCTAAAGCACAAGTTAACATTATCTCTTTATTAAGTGAAAATTAATAAATACATATATAATAGTAAAAAAATAATAATAAATGCTGCATTGGTATTGTGAATAAACAATTATTTTGAAATAAAGAAAAACACAAATGAAACACTTTTTTTATGATACATAAAGAGTAATTTATTTCAAGTATATTAAAATTAAAAGCATTAATCTTTTTTTATAAGACTATTTTAATTTAATGGATCTAATTAACGGACTAAAAGTCCGAATATAAATTACTACAATTAATAGTAAAAATAACTTATTTACAATACTTCCCCTCAAGTTGATGAATGAATATCTACCATTTCTAACTTGAAAACAATCTTTTTAAAATTTGTTGTTCAGCCCCTTAGTTAGAAGATCTGCAATGTTGTCTTGAGAAGAATCATATGGGGTGCAAATAAAATCATTATTTAACTTTTCTTTGATGAAGTGTTTTTCAACTTCAATATGTTTGGTTCTATCATGATGTACTGGATTATGGATTATACTAATAGCATATTTATTATCACAATAAAGTCTTCAAAATTCTGGCAAACAGATCACAGACGTCATAAGAGATGTCGAGACATTGATCTCTGCTAAAAACTGAACAAGGATAGAACATAAACATTATGTTCTCTTAAAATCAAGAACACTTTGAACATTCAAAGGTCAAAACAGTGTCACGATAGATGTTTCAACATCTGTCAAAACATATACTTCAGATCAAAAGTACAGATTGAATAAATTATAGCAAAATGAAAAATAACACAAGATATGATGACCCAGTTCGGTGAATAACAACACCTACATATGGGGGCTACCAAGCCAGGAATGAATTCACTATTAGCAGTATTAATTTAGAGCTAAAATCCCCCGTTTGCAACTCCTCACTTAATCACTACCCAGTACACTTCAATTTAGAAATCACCATCTAGATAAGAGAACCTCATCTCAATCCCTAAATCACCTCAGTGATATCTAACAGTTACAATCTCTAACAATTGCATCAAACTGTTGAATTGAAAGACATTCCTTCCAATATAATATTCAGTCAAGACTCTTTAATAAAAATCAAGCATGAATTTGCTTAAATGTTTCATCCAAGAACAATACACAATTCATTACCTACAGGTTTCTAAATCTGTAAAACTATGTCTACCACAATGTATCAGTCGATACAAAGGGTGACTTACAACACAAGATAGTACACGACTCTAAAAAACCTAAATCCTTATTTTTCTACTTTTACAAAAGTCTTAATAAGAATTTTTATTCTACCCTAGATCTTGTTCTTCCTTTTATAGCCTTCAGCTGTCCATGGGCTTCGAAGTCTCTATTTAATCTTCCCTTGACCCATGTTCTGATTGCTCCTTAAATCTTGAACCAGATCTGTAATAAATCTACTGCACCAGATCAGGATGTCGAATGCACAATGCTAGGACATCTTGACTGGCATGTCTTCCTTTAGTAGATTTCTTCTTGTAGGAACATCTTGTGTAACATCATGTTTTACCTAAATTTTAGTCAAATCTTTAGAGCCTTCAAGTCTCATTAGTTCATCATTCTTTATCTTTAAATTGTCTAATAGCATTTTCAACCAAAGTAGTTCACATATCCCTTGTACCATTGCTCTGAATTCTACTTTATCACTAGACCTAGATACAACACTTTGTTTTTTACTCTTCCAAGTCACAAGATTCCCACCCAGAAAAGTACAATATCTTGTAGTTAATCTTCTATCCACAACTAACCTTGCTTTGTCAGCATGACTATATGCTTCAAGACTCACCTTTCAGTTTCGTTCAAACAAAATTCCTCTACCCGGAGTTCCTTTTAAATATTGCACAATTCAGAGTGCAGCTTGTAAATGAATCTCCTTTTTCACAAATTGGCTAACTAAGCTTACATCAAAAGCAACATCTGGTATAATATGTGATAAGTATATAAGTTTTTTTTACTAATCTTTGATACATTCCCTTATCAACCAAAATATTTAATTCTATGTTCCCCAACTTTACACTTAGATCAATTAGTGTACTTTCATCCTTGCATGATGTCTTATTTGTCTCTTGTAGAAGATCAATAATGTATTTTTGTTGAGATATGAAGATTCATTTCTTAGAGTGTGCAACTTCAATTCCTAGAAAGTACTTCAATTTTTCCAAGGTCTTAATCTCAAACTCCTTGGCTAAGTGTTCGCGTATCAATTATTTCTCTTTCTCATTATCACATGTTACTATATTGTCATCCACATACACTAGTAAACTGTTACTCTACATGTCTCAGAATGTTTGATAAATACAGTATGATACCATTGACTTTATTTAAAACCCTAACCTATCATAACAGTGATGAATCTTCCAAACCATGCTCGTGGTGATCGTTTTAGCCTATATAAAGAATTTTTTAATTTGCACACAATGTTGGTGGTAGTAAGTTCACGGTATCCAGGGGGTACATCCATATAGATCTCTTCATCAAGTTCTCCATGAAGAAAGGCATTTTCACATCAAATTGATGTAAATTCCAATTGTAATTAGATGATAAAGATAATATCACCCTTACGATATTCACTTTAGCAACTGGAGTAAATGTCTATGTGTAATCTACTCCATAAGTTTGGGTGAATCCTTTGGCAACCAATCTTGCCTTGTACCTCTCAATACATCCACCAGCCTTATATTTTATAATGTATACCCATTTGCACCCTACAAGTTTCTTTCCATTTGGGAGAGAACTCAATTTCCAAGTATTATTCTTATTCAGTGCCTCCATTTCCAAGTCCATGGCATGTTTCCTTTTCCTATCAGACAATGCCTCAGATAAAGAGTTAGATATTGTTATAGTGTTTAGACTTGTGAAAAATGCTTTATAGGTGTAGAAACATAAATTTTTCCCCTTGAAAATTTGTACCCTAAAATTTTGAACCATTGAAAATCTTTAATCTTTTCATTTTTATAGAGTAGATTTTCATATTTTTAAATCACACCATGGGTTGAATCAATTTCATCATGTTTTATTATTAAATACTTCATTGTACCACATCGCAAGCAACCACGAGATGATTTGACCAAAATTACGCAAAGTTTGTATTAGCACTGCAATGAGAATAGATCTAGAGGCAATTTCTCCAATACTCATTCTCATCTTCTTCATTAAGCTTTTGAGTGTCTTTTGTTTTACCTCTCATCACCGTAACATCCATAATATATAAATATCATAAATATCACATAATTGTATCTTTAGAGTAACTTGAGATACAATAATATTTTAAAATAAGTCTTAAATTTTATTATAATTAATTAAGTAAGAAATAATAATTTAGAAATTTCCTAATATAACATGTCATCAATTTAAAAACAAATGATAAATATTTTGAGCATAATATTGTAGAAAAAGAGATGTTAGATATGGATGTAATTGAATCTTTGAAGACATAAACAATGTGTATATTTTAGATAGAATATTGTGATAATTAAATTTTAGAAAAATAATAATAAAGTTCAAACTTTTAAAGAGGCATATATTGTTCTTTTTATTAGTCAATTTGTTCAACAAGAAAGAAACATTTTCTTTTCATTACAAATACGCATATCAATATAAATTCTTAGTTCAAAAAGTAGATTCATCAAACAAAAAAAATTATAAGCATTCATGATTTTTTTTCTTCCTATTGTAAAGATTGTTTCTCATTGAAAATCATAGAACCAACAAAAAAGAATATAAAAATAAAAAACCATCAAGTTGTGAATGCAAATATCCTTTAAAGGTCTCAAAATATGTGTCATTACAAAGCTTATTGTTAAACATAACCAAATTTCCTATGAACACAATATTCTTGTTATAAGAATGTGAGATTTTAGTTAAAAATATTAGTGTATGGTTGTCTTTTATTATACAAAATCTTACATTTTTCATAATTAATTATGACAAAAACGACCTTTATATTCGTATTTAAGGATTAAATACGACTCTTTAAAAATTTTCACAATTGAATTAAAATTAATCTCAAATTTTTATATAAGGCCTCTCAAAAATCTGAGACGCGTATAATAACATATAACTATAATTATTATGGTATACAAATCTTTCAGAAACACACAACTTAAACATTTAAAAACATATTCCCATGGATATTCCTATGAACCATGGTGTAGTTGTTAAATAAAAATCAAAAACGAAATCTTCCACTAGGAGTTTGATGCCTATAATTCATAATACCTCTATATAAAACTGCCCTATTAGGAGGCATAGTGTCCTCTAATTTAGGCACACAACCAGATTTCAAAGCATTCTTAATGACCCAAACTTGTTCAGCTTTCACCCTTTGTGCCCTTATCTCATTCCTATGATTATCATTACTTTTATTCTCCCTTGAAACTTCCTTCATTTTTTTTGCAAACCTCACCTTTTTCTTTGCTTCATGATGTTTATTATAACCTTATAAAAATTAAAAATAAATTACAAAAAAAACTATGTAATATATACTAGCAATAATGTTTATCAACAATGTAAGAAATTCATAATTAAAGTGGAGAAAAAAAATTGAAGATTGTACCTTTTAATTTTTTCCTGCTATGTGGATATACGATACCACCCATTTCAAACTCAAATTTCTTCATGAAATCAGATAATACACGTTTATGAACTTGATGAGCCAATAAAACCACGCTTCCAGAAACAGCAAAAACAGCCATTAACCCTAATTTCATTGAACTCTCCATTTTTTTTGTTATGTTTTGGATTGTGTTATATGGATATATGAATGTAAAAATCATGTGCCATCCAAGAAAAACACAGAGAAATTGGTATGTAGAATTTGAAAGTATCAAAGAGAGGAAGAATCATTTTGCATACACAAGAAAAAGATATGATGAAATGAGAATATAAGAAGGAAAAGAATTACGGGTATATAGGGATTTGTTTATAGGTTTTGCTTTATATAGGAAAGAAATGGAGAATAATAATAACACAAGAATCTCTTTTGATTTCTTTTACATCTATTTTAAGTTTCAACTTTGAAAAATTAAAAGTACTTTGTTGTCAAGTCAAGACAAAATCTTAAAATAGTGTTAACAAAAGTGTTTTTGTATATTTTGTTAATTTTGGACATACTTTGTGGCCGGTAGATTTATTTAAATTGTTCTATTTTGGATCTATTAATTGTAGCCACATATGTCTTTCAATATCCATCACTTGGGTGGATTCGTTTTGGTAAATTGGGTATATTAAAAGAGTAAATATTTAATTTAGTTTTTCTTCCTACTATAATATAGTTTTTTTAAAACGAAGATATCTCTAGGATTAAAGTGTTATTACAAAATGAGATCTATTCAAATTAGATATTTTTTAATGACATGTTTTTTTAAACACATTGATTATCTGAATACACATTAATAATCTGGACCAAAAATTAAGAGGATATAAGTCAAAGTCACAACATATTATTCGAAATTTATCACGATTAGATTGCAGTTAAATAAAATCTCATAATATATTATAAATAATTTTAAATGCAATTGTAGTTAAATAGAATTTTTATTTAAGCGTGATTAGACTGTAAAGTATCTCCAAACATTTAAAACGATTTTGTTAATTATGAATCAAATACTACATCCAAAAAATCAAATGTTTATGAAAACAATAGTGTGGCATTATTAAATAGTTATTATTCTGGGTTGGCCAAAAACCCCAATCACTAAGGTTCAAATTAATGTAAATTCATTTCACATGACCCAAGGTATAAAAATCACCACGTACAATATGTAAGATACATTTTCTAATCTTCGTGCAACTCAACCATTGTGCCACTGTATCGGATATGACCACCACCTAATCAAGATTCCTCACTACCTACTTCAACAATTTATGGTTCCAAGACAGAACAGTGATATCGTTTGCGAGAATCGACTTCAGGTTCTGTGAAATTCTACAGATGGATCATCCTAGATCCAAACTTAGATTTGTACTAGAATTATCAAAGAATGTAGGTAATTACCTCCAAGGTCATACTGAAGGTTCCCGATCAACCTTCTAAAATCGCATCGCCTCAACTATCCATCATCGATACGATCCTCACTGTAACGACTTTTGGGATAGATCCATTACTAGAGTACCTTCTCCATGAGGTGAATAACCTCTGAGTGACGAACGAAGATCGCATCCCACCAGAGTTACTAGATCGCGACGAAGTAAACTAAACGCAAACCTCATAATTATCAACAATTGAAGTAGTTACCATTGTGAATCATGCTACATATCGCGACAACACAAAGTGCTAGATATTCCAATTTTACCTACCCCGTCTTATTATCACAATTGATACTCACAATATTGTTGTATTCGGTGGAGATCGTCGATTAGAATACCTCCTCTCATAGCACTTAGACATTGAGTCTAGAATGGAGACCTAAGTGTAAACACATTCAAGGAATGAGAAAGTTCTAAGAATAATATATACAGACTTACCCGTAGTTGCGGTAGTTTTCACAATTGACGAAAGTCCTTATGAGATACCTCCTAGAAAATAGACACATGGTGATGATTTTTTTATTAAATGTGATCAAATTACCAGTTCTTCACCGATTAGAACCAGAGGTGCAGGATAACAAAGATCCTTTTGTCTTCAGAAACTCCATATCCTACTCTAGCAGAACGGGGAGGATCGCGCCCTCCCTAAGGACAAATACATAGGGAAAAACATATAGGGTCCCAATAACGTTAAAGCAAACTTTCATCGAAGACACCTCTGATCAAGGCTCTCTTCTAACTTTATAAATGGCTCTAGCAATCCGCACAGAGACAACAGGGAGAGAGAAAGAAACCAAGCTCGATTCGTATAGGGACTGAGGAAGGTTTTAGTGGATAATTCCTTAAGAAATCGCATCTACATTTAGCAATGCTCTGACCTTAATCAAAATCTAGTCATATGCCAGGGGTTAAACTTTCATTCTTATGTAAATGCACCACTAACTATTCTTTGAAGGATCAGGAAGAGTGTCTACCCCTAGGTAAAGGGAAGCAAAGATATTGTCGTCTAATTTTTCAGGAAGTACAAGGTTGGGCTACGTGACACGCTTCAAGCGTACGACAATGTCAAGTAGTATAAAAAAGTATCATATTGTCATATCCTAAAATTTGACCCTAAGATTCCACATAAAATGCATACCATATGAACATACTTTTATACATCACTAACCCATCACAAGTATAATATACGTGTGCTTACTTTCTACGCAGGTTAGGTGACCCCTCTAAAGCTCAAACAGATGAATTGTCAAGGAATAAACATCCTATTCACACCACAAGTCTCTATATCATCCATGAAGATCAAGAACTTCCACTAATCCATAATCAAGTACAAAATTGCATCATGACAAGCTCATCAAGACTCAAGACCCTCAGTACACCAAAATTAGGGTTTTTACCTAATTCAGTCTCTAGGATGACTTGTGAAGCAAGGCATGATCCAAGACCTCAAGATATGTTTCAAGGACCTCAAATACATCATATTAGTCCATTCATATTGTCATACCCCAAATTTTGACCCCTATATTCCATTACCATTCTAGGAGCATCAAGCATTATTTCCTAACCCTAACCTTGTTTCAAGTTTGTGTTATTGAGATCCACCTGAATTAGGGTTTTACACCATCAGAATCAAGAAGACTATTGCTTGATCAGTCAATATTTTGGATTTGTCATCATTAAATCAATATTCCAATACATTCAAGGAGCTTATATTCAACAAGAATCAAATGCTAATCGATCAAGTAAATTGAATTCTAATTTCATCTGCCCCCAAATTAGGGTTTTAATAGGAAAAGTCAACTATGCCTTTGACTTATAATCCAAGCATGATCCCAAGCTTTGGGACATGATTCAATATGTTCGCATAAATCCTTGGATCCTATATATGATGCTTGAGAAATCCCAAGAGGCAAATTCATTGAAGATCACACAGTTGAATTCACCTGATACAAAATTCATCTGACAAAGTCAACTCTTTGACTTTCAGGGTTTTTGGTTCAAATTGAAGCTTCCAAGCCAAATTTCATCAAAATATGTTTAATCAATGAGTTTGATCATGAAGAAATCAAGATTTGATAGGTTTCTTGCAAAAGAAGAAAACTTGGATAACTTGAATTTTTTCGAAGTGTGGGAAGAAACCCTAATTTTGGTACCAACTTTAAGAGATCATAACTTTCAATCCACACATCCATTTTCTGAGTTCCAAAGATCAACTTGTAGATCTTCTCGTGTACTAAAAAAATATCCTAGTGACCTATGAGCAAAAGATGCTTAGATTTTGAGTTATGAAGCTTCAAAATTTGGAAGAATTTTAAAACACTTAGAATATTTTCAAGACAGAGTTGTTACTTCAATTTTCAGCCAACTTCAAGGCTAGTTTTTGTCATGATTCCTTTGGATTCAAGAATTTTATCAAACATGAAATTTGTATGGAATGTTTAGGGCTTTTCAAAAAGTACAATAAATCATCCATACCATTTTTGAGCTATGAGTTTCAAAGGAGGAAAGTTAGCCCTACCCACTTGATGTTTTGTTCATTTCCATGCCAAGAACAAGTTACAAGATCAAACAAATCTGAAAATCCATTGATTGACAACCTTGAGACATGCATATCCATCTATAATCAGAAGGTTGAACTACTTTTGGAGTCATTACACAAAGGTTTGAACCATGATTTAAGTTCCATACCATTTATGAAAGTTTTGGATATAAAGGTTGCAATGCCATTTTCAAAAAGCAACTTTAATCACAACTGGTTTTTCTTGAGTCCATAACTTGTTCCATCTTCAGAAGCAAGATCTAGTATATCCAACCATGCAAGATCTCATTGTACTTTTCCTTAAAACCATGGAGAACCACCAAACATCAAGTTGGAATCCAACCAAACTAAGCAAACCAAGTGAGTCTTCAATTCTGTTTTTCAGCAAGACATTAATTCCAACCTTTCCCTATAAATAGAGACTTGATTCCTGTTTCAACAACAAGAAAAAAAATAGAGAAAAACATCCCTCAAACCTATTAAACTCAGTAGTTTGCAAATTAAGCTCTACTTTGTGCCAAGAACCTCAACTTTGCACAAACCACCTCATCTGCATTTCCATACCTAAAAACATTAAACCACTTGTTCCAACACATCACAAAACACATTATAAAGGTGTTCAAACACTCACATCCATCAAAAGACCAAAGAACCAAAAAGTCAACCTCCAAACCAAAAAACTGTTGACTTTCTACACTTCCATTCCAAAACTCTATTCTTACCATATTTGAACCTTTTGATCACACAAACTCAATCCTTAAATATTTATTGAGGTGTCCACAAATTTATTCCCCAATTGGAATCCCATTTACTTAAAAATCTAAGTCATCATTATTCTTACTTTGCAAGAGGAAGGGTGCAATCTGTTCCAAGCATTTCCAAGGGAGTTCAAGCATTGAAATAGTTTCTAAAAGGTGTATTAAAGCTACCCAAATCATCAAAGTATTTATGTAATTACTCTTGTGAAGATTTCAAGTTTTGCTTCAAGAGGTAAGTCACGATAGTCTTGAACTCTCCAAACCATGTCATATCTTGATGTACATGAGGATGAACTTGCTTGTTATGATGTATGTAATGTTTCTGAACCATTGCTAGTTGATTATCATGCTTGAATATTATTGTGCCATTGAAATTGCAAATGAGCTTTTTGGAATT